ATGTATATATATAGCCAACGAAATATAGAAAGTAAAAGATGAGAAACATTTTTACCAGAATGCTTTCTAGTTCAAAGAAGATTACCAAGAGTATGATTGAAGTTTTTGCTTAAAGTAAACCACCTTTATTAATTTGTCAAGTAAAACTTGTGTAACAATAAAAGCGAATATGGGCAAGCCTTAAACTCCAATTCTCAAGAAGCAGTGCAATGAAGCTGCTCAAGGTCAGGCAGGCAAATTATGTTCTGCTACCCTGAAGAAGTAATGTCGGTCACAACTAATCGGCTGCCTTACTATAAAAAGGCATTTAAAGGAACGTTTGCATAGAATAAAAGTAAGGCCATTAAATTACCAATTGCTGATGTAATTCGTGTTTTTTGAAAGAATTAAACTATAATTTTTTTAAGCTGCATTGCTTTAGCTCGGACCACCACGTTGGAATATGCCAATTAGGTTAGTAATAAGGTATAATGACTGCTTTAATCTTGCCTGGTGACTCGCTGGTGGTATGATGAAAAATAAAAATAATAATATTTTAAATGTAGAGAAGGGATGTGATTAAGTGGATTTGTTCTCTCAAGGGAAGGCAGCTTAATCTTTCACGTTTCCCTTACATGGTACTTACTACTTAACTTATGCTGAGTTCTTCCTGCTAATATCGAATTTTTACATAAAAATATTTGAACGCTAATGATGATGGCCAGAGATTATATTGTATAGGCCATTACCAGTATTGTTTGCATGCTAATGTTCAATGCATAGTTTTCGTAGATACAAGAGAACGTGGCTTCTATTGAGCGGTACAACGTAGGCTATTTGTAATGTCTGTCAATCAAATTCTGTAATAGCATCTCTCTTACAGACCTAATTAATTTCTTAATCACGGAGAAGAGCATACCAGTAACGACGTTGGTCTCAAGTGTTTAGCTTTCAGAAGATGTTGGCTTTGCGGCTTAATTCAGCTAGTATTTTTAGTTCTGCTATGCAGAAGACAAGCTGAGCGCAGCACGATCCTACCCTCCCCTCTCCTCTCTCACTTTTTCTTTATCTTAGGTTTGTTTTTACTTCATCTTTGTTGGTTTGTGCTTGTGCAGACGACAATCAACAACAAAAGCAACTAACACGAAAACACACGTTGGTACGGCAGGCGCTACCCGCGCTCAGCTCCTGCAAAGGCCCGTAAAAGCTTGGATTTCAGAAAACCTTCAGTCTGTTTCAGTTTTTAGCAGCTCCAGCTGATGTTTTTTCATGTTGTCTGTTTATATATTTGTTCTTGATTTTACGTGACCACTCCATATTCAGAAGTGCGCTACGACGACGAGTTAGAAGGATATATCGAAGGAAGCACCGAAAAGAACTTAAAAATTATGGAACTTCAAGAGAAATCTGTTGCAAGTGAGTAATCTAAACTGTGTGTTATGGCTCTTTTCTTGCAGTTGATGGAATTAACTGCATCTTTGTTATGGTGTCTGTAATTTTAGTATTAATGAAAGATAAGGACCGTACATAAGCCAACTAGCCAATGAACCCAACCGTATCTTCGATAAATAGCCATAACTTGTGAAAAGATAAAAAGAAAAGAAAGGTTTCATATTAGATATAATTCTCTTTGTGTTTCTCTCGTGTACACACATTGCCTTTGAACCTGGTCCGTTGTGGCTCGTGTACATTAGATATACACATATTTGGTAAAAAAAAATAAGAACAGGGACACTATTCCTTGCATCTAGCGTGTATAAATATCGCATTAAGCTGCTCCATTTTATCGAGACCTGCTTAGATCGACTGAAATTGCTTGAAAGCGTTTTTATCAAAACAAAAACATTTGGCCACTATTGATGCGAATTATAACGTTTATACAAGTAAAGCGTATACTGACAAAATTGTGCATTTAAATAGGACATCTAAACTCTATACGCATTTGTATAAGACCGCAATTATTTGTATTCAAGTATTTCATCTATAAAAATATTCCTCATTTAAGCATGTACCACTTATTTAGCAGAAGTAATTATGTAGATTAGGTAATGCACGCATTAGTAGCATAGATTGTAAAAAGAACCTGAAGACGAAAAAATAAATGGAAAAAATGATCGCTGGATTCAAAATTACAATTTTGACAAGTGCCCCTGTTTCAATGACTACTTTGTTATAAACGTTTAACCTTTCAGGAAGGGTTACGGCAGTCGACAAGCGGTTAATGGGCCGGCTTGCTTTGAAGTACCAGGTGGATTTGAGGTACGTTCTTGCGGTACTTAAGGTCACCAAATGGGACGCTGGAAAGGCCGAGCTGGAGATTCAAAACGGGGAGGAGTGCCGTCATTTGGTTGAGACAATGGCACAGGAATTCAATCGAGACTCTGCCGAAGTTCGTAAACTGTTGGACTCGGTTAGTTGGAATACTATGGAAGCACGAAAATTTGCCCAGCAGCACCGCTCGTGGCGTATACCTGAGGCTAGCAAAGCGAAAGAACGAGACATAAAGAACGCTGAAGCGCAGCAGAATCCCGAAAATGAGAAGAAAAAATTTGCCTGCACATTTTGCCCGATGTCATTTAATCGGCTGCGGTTCTTTGAGGTACACGTAAAGGCGCATGACGGGCCAAAACCATTTAAATGCCAAAGTTGTGGTTTTGCTTTCGGGGCTGAAGAGCATCTCTCAGCCCATATCCAGGCGCATATAGACAAGAGCTATGCATGCGACCTCTGCTCCGGTCGATTCTCAAGACGTGAGCATCTAATTAGACACTTGGCTATACACGCACGAAGCAGTAAAAAACATATGAAACAACACATTAAAAACCGAATCAAGGAGATCAGCAAGAACAAAGATAACGCATTCACGTACAAGGGCAGCATTAAGAAAGCGATCAGTATTGCTAATAAGGGTATTGGTCTCAAATGCCGTATCTGCAGCCGAACGTTCACGACGAAAACATGGCTAACACGCCATATGAAGGACACTCACGATGACATCCCATTTCAGTGCAATATCTGTGATCAAATCTTTGCCGATCGGGATATTCTAGAAGCACACGTTAAATCTCACGGAAAACAACGATTCCGCTGTACATTCTGCAGCAGTGCCTTCCTTCGAAAAGATCACCTCCAACGCCACATGAACAGTCACACTGGTGAGCGAAACTTTGCCTGCGACGTGTGCGACAAAACTTTTATACAAAAAGCTCACCTCAACGAGCACAAGCGAAGTAAGCATGGTGAAGTAACTGGTCAGTAGCTGTGTTGCCACGAGCGTTGGGAATATTGAGCCTTTAAGAACACTCACGAATAATTCTTCTGTACATTAACGAAATATTTCATTAAACTCATTACATTAATGTCCCCTTGCATACGCACGCATTTACGTTTCCCATTTTCAAATAATTACAAAGGCGACGCATCCTATATACTCATTTACAGCACACTTTCTGTGGTTGAGAAAGAGACTCCGCAGCACCCGACTGAAGGGCATTATTGATGCTTCATAGGTACGAATATTTTTTAGATCTCGCGGAAACCCATTTCGTGGAACAGTGAAAATATTCCATCGTAAATTAAAGTTTATACTGTAATTACTCCATTATGCATTTGTGGCAATAAGCAATGATGTCACAAGCGACTTCCATTAATATTTCGTGATGGTGGCAGGTTCTTTGGCGCTTCTCCATAATCTAACAGGTGGAGCCCAACGGGACAAACGATTTTACCGTCGTTGTATTTTGTTGAAGAAATGTTTGCTGTAATAATTCCATTGGTGCTAACTAGATTGAGTCATGTTTATAGAACAGTGAAAAACGTAACATTTACTTCTGTAAGAGGCGAAAGAGGTTTAAATTCTAAATTGACTTAATAATGTAATATGTGATAGCAATTGTATCTTGTCATCAGTATCTGTATGATTAATACGTGCTATATATGTCACGGGATTCAAATAGACGTATTGAGCCGTGGTTCTACTAGCGTCATGATGCACGAATGTTGTTCTATTTCCTTAATAATCACTCTAATAATGTGGATAAAATTCGAAAAACGATACGATTGATACCGTTATTACGGATTTTTGCTCTTAGCTAGATTTTGATTCTAGGTTTATAATAGAAACCATCTAAGTGACCTTTTCATATTTGATACGCATTTACACCGAGGGACCGAATGACTTTAAAGAATATTGTAATTCGTGAAGAATACAGGGATTTGTAATTGTTGCTACTAAACCCTGATCAGATCCACATACTCCCACGTTTATATTGTTGTTCGTATAGGTTTCCTACACCTCTTTTTACCACTTACCTACATAATTTTTTTTTTCAACCGAAGTAAAACCCACTTATGTCCATTAAAAGATATTCAAGTTGACACCGTCCAACAATATCCGAGTGAATGGTGGGACGCCCATGTGAACTAATGGAATAGAAAATAACCATCAACGAAACACGAATGTTTCGTTTTTCCGCTCTTCCTCCCCTAGGCACTCCAAACCTCATCACTTAACCACCAACGCTTTTTCTCGATGCACTCGCCAGCGTTAGCTATTAATAATCGCTACATTATGACAACTCATATGGGACGTTACAATCCCGAAGAAACGCAAAATTGAGATGATCTTATTTTTTACTATTGATGGAAAAAAGCTTTTTAGTTGGACCTTGTTCAAGTTAAGACTTTCGAAGGAAATACTAAAGTTGCTCTTCAAGATGCGCGATGTCTTGTAATCTGACAGTCATCGAATCCATATGTCATCGCGAAAAACACATAATTATAACGTGCAAATGAATAGCCACAACATTTAAGTATTAATGCAATGTATTCAAGTGGTTCATTGTTGTATTTCACTCTGACGACGCAAACAGATATTGAGTCAATACATATTTATTAATATCAATTTGGAATCAATATGGAAAGCACATTAGTATTGATTCAACAAAACACGGAAATTAGAGATATCATTTTTTCATACAAAGGTTTTGCGAAATCTCTGAAGTCACCTGTAATTAGAAGACAACAAAGAAATAAAACAGTTCACGTAAAAAATAACCTTAAATAAATTAAGAGAACTAAAACACTATATGTATATAGGTTTACGACACTTTTTTTTTGAGTGAAAACCCTAAAAAAACGAAGTCTATAGGTGATGGAGGATAATTTACGACAGAAGAAAAGAGTATTTTTAAAGGGAACATTAAATGCTACCACAGGTGCGTAACGGTGCGTTCTCGACGCGTTAGCTGCATTAGTAACTTGGTCGTCAGATGCAAAGATGTCTATTAAATTAGAATGCTGCACTAAGTTAGGATAACTAGATTCTACCTTAAAATGTACTACTTGTATATAAGTGCGCTTTCGAGTTACTGTGTTAGTCGGGAGAGTAGACGACGTTCCTGCTAAAAGGTTTGTCGACAAATTTGCCGTTTGCAAAAATATGCATTACATTTGGAACACTAAATTACGTTACATTAAGGTTAATTTTATGACACATTTATGATCTATTTTTCGGGTCTGTTTTGGAAAATAAACAAACGTAAGCGTACGTGTTACCAGTTCCTCGCAAATGCTAATCACGCAGCCACTATGAGGTTCGAAGCGGTTAAGTTATCCTGTGCTGATTCGTTCCAAAGCAGCAATTAGCTAGTTTTTTTTAGCATTGCTTTTGTCTTATATACGAAAAACGAACAAACGAGCATGTTCAAAGCTAACCCTTCGCGAAGGCGAAAAGGTGATGTGCAAGATTATCCTACGTCGATTCACCGTAGCCGAAGATGGGTGCGATCTTAGGTGCCTGCCCTCGAAAGAAGAACGCGTATTTCTATGGTAATAACCCTTAGGATATCTTTATGTGCGTACGTTAGAGCCTCCATTTATTTCTGAGACACTGAAATGACAAAAGCGCCGAAGTCATTGTCCCAATGTTTCAAATTGCCCGCTAGCTAGAAATGCTGTCTCCGCAAATCAACACGTCATCTAATGATGATGACTGCTTGGTACACGGTCGAGTTATTCAAAATGTATAAAATCTAGTTTTTTTTTTCGCTATTAACCTCTAAATTTTGGGTTGTCAATTATGCTTCAGATTTTTATTTTAAAGAAAGTCGTTCACCGTCCTCATTTAGTTTTGTGTGTTAGGGACAAGCCGTTTGCCACTGTTGGTCATCGAATTCATGTGCAATTAAACTCTATTAGCAATCTACCGCCAGAAAGAACTCTGGTCCTCCTTTTTGAGGCCTAGCTTATAGGACGACCGAAAAAAAGAGAACGGGGTGCAAATCCTAGGTTATGAGTTGTCGTCGCTCAAAGTACAAGCAAAGATTGAAGGAATGCCCCATTGCCCAAGCGAGAAGGCTAAATTAGTTCTTACCCTAAGCAGTTGGTAATAAAAGATGGCTAGAATTCAACACCATGATAATAGGAGTGTGAAGGATAAAGAAGTGATTGCAGCAAAGAATACATCAAAAGGGTAGCAACTGGGCTTTACTTAGAAGGTCGAACACTTTTCAGAGGCAGTTATGGACAAGGGTGAGACGCATATTGCCGATTGCTAAATTCGCCTACTGCTTGGCAACGGGCTCTTTTTTTTGTATTTTGTGGTACCTTCGATATTAACACGATGAAAAGCAAACTTGTATACATACAGTTCAGTCTTCGCTAACACCGCGAGTAAAATGCATTAAAATGACAGTAGGCTTCGTAACTATATCTAGCGCACTCTTTAAATAATTGAAAATTCCATTCTTAAAACTAAAATGTGTTGAGTACAGAGTGCAGCTGTTAGAAGAACGTCAGGGCTCTTTTTATGTTATTATCCAATTATGCACAACCTTTGACGTTTGGTAAAGTAGCGATATTTTTTCATATCTCAAGAGTAGAGATGGTTGAATGGATATCGTGCGCTCTTCTTCCCCGTGGGGTTTGATTTTCTGCAGCACCAAGAAGTTAAATTAAAATCCTATGGTCCCGTTGTACAATCTCGACGATGACATTCTAGTTGACGGAAACTTACACGTTTTCTGAATGGCTTACCATTCCCATACTACAGAAGTTCTAATGCTGTCGCGGACTTCAGCGATTGGAATAAGATGTGAGCTCTTGAGTGAGCGCTCGTGTAGGATGGAAGGCCACATTGCCATCTAAAAACTTTAATTTCTGTTGTATTTATTGTCCCGGTCCACAGCACCAAAATAAAATTTATTGGTTGTACCGTTGACAATAACCTATTTATTCGAGCGATGACAAAGCTCTTTGAAAGAATAGTATCAGGATCAATCGGCACGTTGCGACTGTTTTTCAAAGATCTGGATACCATGCATTAGAGATAACTACTGATTCCGATAATCCAAAGGTCCATGCTTCAAGCGTGATGTTCGACACCATTGAGCAAGGTCTTTTCTTAAGAAGCTTTCACCCGTTCAATCTGTGCACGATTTGCCTTGGTGGTGCTGTAGATGAATCGCTTTCCGTTTATAATAATAATAATAAAAGATAAACATCTTATATAAGATGTTTATCTTATCTTTTAATCATTAGTGCCCACAGACCGCAGATTTATGAGCGTGTTGGAGTTAAGCTGCAACAAATAACGTATCATGCGTGAAAGTACTCTATCTAATATAGAATCCCAGTTTGATGAATAAGATCAGATACAAATGAACCGTGGAAACGGAAATAAAAGAAACTGCCGATCACTCATAAATCACCTTCGACGCTGTTGAGAATAGTAAACGCTGTTACGCCAATACTGTATAAAACACATTCTTACCTCTGTATAGCTGTTGTTGTGAGCTATAAAGGAGCACAAATGTACGTATTTCTTATATATCATATAGTGTAACCTACGTGTCCTAATTTTAGCTGTAAGGCTTCAAGTGTTTGAAGTTTTGCTACCAAATGTTCTCTGTAGAGTCTGACCTGATCTTGAAAAATCAATACTGGACTCGCGGAGAAGAATTCAAACAAACCTTTCGGTGAGATTAAGCGATAGAGGTATTCGTGCTGCCATCAGTAGATTTTGCCCCGTTAAGATTTCACGGAGCTCTTTTAAAGAGTTATGCAAAAAATTATGCAGTACTGTGGAACACGTATGACTACGCTTTTACGAAGAATGACCGTCAGTTGAGCCCTCCGTAAGAAAATTATTTCGCCAGACATCAGAAGTGGGGGGAAGACGTTCTGTGGGATTGTGACCTCGACGTGGAAATTTATCGGCTAGACGTCAGACGATCTAGCTGCGCCGGAGGATGATTTTACGCTTTACCTCACGTACCGTCTAAATTCGTTTGTTAGATCATGAAGCACCCAGTCTCCGGCTCGAATAATGTAAACATAAGCTAAAAAAGAACTGGGCGGTCAGTGTGTCTGTGGTAACATTGTAAATGAGTCAAGACATGTTTGAGTAAGACGCAGTTTGCGTCTGTATTAGTGTACAGATGAAATAGTTCCTTTTATATTGTTTTGCAAAAGACTTCATCCCCAAAAAGCCTCTACAGTAAGCATTTTTATGTATGAAAATAGTCGGCAGTTTGCGTTGTGCTTAAATCTTATCTGTCCAATTTGTCGGTTCTGTCAGTTGCTGTGTGTAATGATTATAGCTATGACTTCGATCAGATAGGAGGAATTCGCTAGCAACGGTAGCAGGATTGCTAACAGAAGCCAAAGTAGTCGGGCAGTCCTAACTGGGACTAAACACAGTATGCAGGAACGCGTGTCCGAACATGCATCGATGCAACATGAAGGCTGCTAATCGTTGCTTTCCTCAGGCATGTTAAGTCTAGCAATATAGTCGCACGGCCTTCTATGAAACACTTTAGAAGTGGCGGAAAACTGCTTCTAGCGAAAGCAGCCGCCATTAGTACTGTTTTTCAGGGCTCCTTACCACTTCGACTCGATTAACGATTGCTTCCAAGTCGAAGTGGACGGGAAGCATAGGGTCAATGTTTCGGTGGGTTCTCCCTTGATCAGTGTTGCATTGTGTCACACGGAAGCGAACGGTACATAGGCACACTCAATTACACACGACGTACGCCATTCATCGTAGCATAATGAGGGAAAGACTGTCTGGT